TTCTGCAGGGTGGTGTTAATCAAGTCATTTTAGCGGATATAATAGATTTTTTATGTAAAAGCAGTAGTTCTGATAAGTAACATATGTGAAATGAAGTAAAGTCTATAAACATTACTTATGTCAGCATCAAGCTGTAGGAACATACTAGTGATTATTCCAATTTTCTTCGAAATAAAATTAATTTGTTTATTATTCGATTCGAAAATTTGAATCGAATACGAATAAGAAAATTATTTTTTTTTCGAATAATTTGATTTCCATTATTCTATCGAATTATTTTTATAATTTGAATTATTTCGTGTTATTCAATATTTATCTTAAATACTCGACATTATTCGTAAATATTCAAAACTATTTATAAATATTAAAACTTTTTCATAAATATTTTAATAATTTTTAAGTATTGTTCCTCATGGAATCTTTTTTTTAACTTCATTTCCACATTTCACTTTTTAAATTTTATTTATCTAATTTTTTAAGAGTTTGAAAAAATCTTTTGCACAAAAATCTATTAAAATTTTATCAAATCTTGCCTAAAATTATATATATATTTATCAAAAAATCTTTTTAAGTAAATCTTTTATAATTTTCATGCATAAAAAAACTTTAAAGATGAAATCACGAATTCTTTTAAAAAAAATATTTAGAAGATTTTTTCATACTCTGATTTTTTTTTATTTTTTAAAATATATTTACAGAATTTAATTTACGAATCAAATCGAATAATATTTCTATTATTCATATGAATACTAATAATACAATTATTCTATTCGAAAATACAAATCGAATACGAATAATGCAAATATTTGAATCATATTTTTGATGGTATAGTTTGGGGTAATATTCATAAAAAACAGAAATAACTCAGTTAAATTCCCCCCCCCCCCGATATATTTCTAGAATGAACCCCCCCCCCCCCCCCCACGATATATTTCTAAAATGAATTAACAAAAATGTCATAAAGTTTAATTAAATACATCATTTATGAACACATTTTGTTCATTATTCCATTATACCAAATAAAGTTAATATTATCCATAAAAACTTATAATTAAATTTAACCATATTTGACCTGTAACAGTTGGATGATTGTAATTTTTTTTATATTAAGGAATTTAACCCACATAAGTAGTGATGGAAATAATAAAGGGAGGGAAAGAAATTAGAATGAAATGGATAGCAGATCTGCACAATTCAATTTTAGGCGAAGGAAGTTTTCCAGAGGACTGGAAATGAGATGCAGCTGTTCCTGTGGCAAAATGCAAAATTTACTACTAGGGAAAGAATTGACCTTTAATTCTTATTAAACAAACCAATACAATATTAAGATCTATAAATGCGGAATTCTTCCTTGTTTTTAAGGAAAATTCTCAACCAAAACTGTTAGATTATAAACTTTGTGATAATCTTTTTTTAATTGAGAAAGATTGGATAATCGATAAAAATTTTTCTTTTATTAAATATTAAAATCCCGACTCGAATCTTGCGGTGTTGAAACTAAAGTTAGGTTAAAAAATTTTGATTTCTTTACAAGTTTTGTAAAGCTGGTGTTAGTCATTTTCAAAAATTATAAAAAAAAAAATTTATTTTATTTATCGTAAAATTACATAATACATTCGATTGATTTTCTCACTTTTGTTAAAAAAATAAGCAATTTTTATTTGTTCCTCAATATTTATTTTTTTAACGTAATTAAAAATTTACACCAAAAATATATCGTATGAACCATGATTTTTTCCTTTTTATAAAAAATAAGTAATTTCAAATTTGTCGCCAGCATGTTTTTTAAGACTGTGGCCTAAATGTCAAAAATTTAATTTATAGAAGTAAGCTATTTTAATATAAAAATAAAATCTAAATCATTTTTTTGAATTTACAAAAGTTTAATATTTTTTTAAAATTCTAGAAATTATTAAACTTTAATAAATTTTAGCTTAAAGTTTATAAATTTGTGTAATTTTTACGAAAAAAAGAATAAGATTAATTAATTTATAATTTTTAAATTATAATAAGAAATGGGCAATTATATTAATAAAATAGGAAGTATTTAAATTAATGGGAAGTATAAAAATAACTTGGTAGTATAATTATAAATTTGCAAAATTTAAAAAAAATTTTAATAGAAGATTTTGGTCATGTTTCATAATTTTATAAAATTAAAAAGATTTATAAATTCTGAGGTTTTTTAAAATATAATTATGTCACAGCTTAACGTAGTAAAAATAACATTAATTTTTTAAGATCATATTAATTTTATTTAAGTTTTTTTAAAATAATCACAAGGGAAGTAGATTCCCTTGCTTGGACGCTTCGTCACTTAGTTATTCTAGTTTAGAAAGTAAAAGGTAATAAGCTAAATTGTGGTTCGTACAGGATGATTAAGTTCTTGGGGCATATAATAAATGTTTTGAAAACTTTAAAGATAATCAGAGATCAAGCGAAAATCGATGATATGCAATTTGGCCTTCAGGAAATAAACTCGGCTGCAATTTCCATAATAAAAAATATAAGGCGAAGAAAATGACACTTAATTGCCCTTTTATAGAACTGGAAAAGGCGTTTGACACGGTCCTGAGCAAGGTTAAAAAATGGGCTTTGAGAAAATATATTGTAGAGAAAGAATTTATTTTGGTAGTAAGCAATATATCAAGATGCCAGAATGGTTAACACACATTATAGTTATAGCGAAAATATTGTAGTTGTAGTGGTAATGCATCAAATATCAGTCTTGAGCCTTATTAATCATAATTATGGAAGTGGTGACGGGAGATGGTAACTTATGTATGCAATGATCTTGTGCTGTTAGTAACAAGTGTAATAGAGTTAAAGAATAAAATAATCATATAAGAAACTTTGTAAGCAAAAAATTAAAGTGAACGAAGGAAAGACTTTTGATGATTGGAGGAGAAAACAGGCAGTTGGCTATTTGTTGTATGTGTTGTTAGAAATTTATTCAATGCACCAGCTTCCATAATCTTACTTCACAAGGTTATTACCTAATAGTGAAGGTTAATTTTAATTATTTGTATATTTTGAAGGGGGGGCTATGGCAACGGTACCTGAATATTTCCATACGTAATACCAATTTTTGTTTTATTTCGTTAATAAATTTAATCATGTTTGCCTATGAACTTAATTGTGAGGGTTCCTTGATTAAAATTAACACTAAAATACAACAGAAAAATGTACAAATATTTTGTCAGTTTTTTCCAATTTCAAATTTTTGTCAGGAATTCAAATATACAGTTACAATAAATCATATTCAAATTTATCATTCTTTTTAACAAGAAGAAATAATAATTATAAAAACTACAATCTGCACCATAAATTTTCTGTAAACTTTTAGAAAAGATCACCATTTCGGAGCTGACTATTTTCAAGGCTAGATTAAGAGAACTGAAATATCAAGCTAGACCTTACCCATAAATATATTTTAAACATAAAAATATTTTAAAAATCCTAAAATAAGAAGCTGATTAAAAAATAGGTATATTTTTATTTAAAAAATTGTATGATACAATTTCATAAATATAGTATTACACCTATCCTTTAATTATATAACAACTAGTTGATAACCCATCAAGAATGACGGGAATAAAAAAATCATGAACTATTACAGGAAAAATTTTTTTAAGAACATTCAGTGAATTTTCTAAAATTTGGAAGTAAATTCCATTAAATAAGGAGATTGAAAGTATTTCTTTTTTCCATTATCTATATAAAAATAGCTGGTAGTAATTGAGGTATCGTATCGTTAATAGCCTTGATAACTTGATCAAACGCATGTCGCTGTAAAACATTAAGATTGGCTAACATTACCATTGCGACATCTGCTTCTATTATTGGGTCATATAAATTAGATTGAGTGATAGGGTCAGGAGATGGAAGATTAAAATCGTTGCAATTGAACCCAGGACAATCTACACAGGTTAGAAGTATGGAGGATATTCCTGTGGCAGCAAAGGGTATGACATTTTTTTGTTGTCCTCTAAGATAGTGTAGTAGAGTATTATAAAGATATGTCGTCTTACCTGATCCACCAGGAGCATCTATATAGAAAAATCTGGTAGTAATTGAGGTATCGGAAATAGACAGGATAACCTGATCAAAAGCATGTCGCTGTAAAACATTAACTCCTTACATAAAGATTTTATGGAAAAATATACGTTCACCATCGCAAAATATGGTAGTAAAATTTTTTTTTTATCTCAACCACAATATGGGAACTTTGCAAATAGTTTAAAATACCTATTTATCAATATCTTACCATGCCATAAAATTAACCTTCCTCACTAATCCTAAGTACTTATTATAAATAAGATTTAACAAATAAATTTAAATTATAGTAGCCAATTGAAAAATAAACATTTATCTCATATTACCATCCCAAAATATGCCAATATAAAAATTTTATCTCAAACAATATTTGAACTCTGGAAATGACACACAATACCAATTTATCAATATCTACCTACATTTTTAAATATTCTGTATCTTAAGAATCTCAAATAAATAAAGTTTGCTTAGTTAATAAAGAAAATAATTAAACATCTGTTTAATTACTGTCTTTTGTATGCTGGGGCCTTTGGCAGATATACTAATATGTCCTGTTGTAATCATTTCGTTATTAAAATCAACATGTGAAATGCAGATTGAGTATGGGTCAGTTGAGACTTTAAAATTATTTTCTGATAACCAGAGGTAAGCTCAAACATGATTTAAATTTTGTGCCAACCTGGTGGTGATTTATTCTGTAATAATATCTATAAAAATTGAACATCTTTTTAATAACTGTCTCCTATATTTTGGGGCCTTTGGCAGATGTACTATTATGTCTTGTTGTAATCATTTCTTTACGATTTTTTTAATTAAAATAAAAAATGGTTGATTTTAAAATTAAATAATATAAATAACTATAAACCAATAAAATAAGAGCTTAAGAAGCCAAAAAAAATAAAGATAATAAGCCAATAAAAATAAAGATTAATAAGCCAATAAAAATAAAATTGCATAACAATAACATATATAAGAAGGATTATATTACAAAATTTAATATAGAAGGTGGCTGAGTGGGAAGAACGTTTGCTTTTAAAACGTTAAGTCATGGGTTCGAATCCCGTTATGTACAAAAAATTTTCTTAAAATTTAACATTAAGAGAGATATAGTCTCCATCGATTTATTTAACATTAAGAAATAGATAATTAAATTAAAGAATAGATTTTATTTTAAATTTTGTACCAAATATAAATTGTTAGTAGGCCAAGTTAACAGAATATCTCTACATCTATTTTTGAAGATATTATGATGATAATATCAATATAACAATAAATTAAGGAAATGAGGAGGGGGGGGGTCATTATATATATTTATTTAATCTTAAAATTTTGTCATTTTCATCATATGCCTAGTCTTGGTGGCCACTTCTTTAGCCAGCATTTCATTGAGGGACAGCAATTTTTCTCGCCTCATTTTTTCTTCCTTCAAATTATCTCTGAGTTTTTTGCGGTTTTTTTCGGTTAACAAGGATAGACGGGAAGGAGAACATGGATCGGAAGAGTTTATTATCTGGCCTTGTTCATAATAAATCATATCTTGCATGCTTGAAAATTTTTTTTAAATTTTATTTTTAGATGCATTGAAATAATAAAAGTTATAAGAATTAAATCGTAAAGAAGAAGATAGAAAAATGGAAAAAAGAATCGATGATAGTAGATAAAGGAGCTCAGAAAAGTTGTTATATAAAAAATTTCATGCAATCTTTTTTCAAATGACAAAACACTGTGTAAGGATATAAATTTGTTTAAAAAACTTACTTGTAATTCGATAACAAATTTCTAAGGTATTCTTTTTTGATAGCTTTTTTGATCTTTTCATTATGTTCCGTTTGTTGTTGCTGTTCCCATTGATATGCGTAATCGATCTCATGATTATCGGATATTTCAAGGGAAAATAAGGAATCGAAGTGTGTACCTGTGTTCAGAGAATCGAGATTACAATCAGTACCAGTCACTTCGTTTGAAAGATCATCGCAAAGCCTTTCTGGTATAAATATCTTGTTGGGTTTGGATATCTTTAGGCATGTTAAGTTATAGATAGTATAAATTTATTTTAAAATCATTTGTTTTTTTGAAAATTGTTTGGTACATTAGTTAAGAATAATTTTTCTAGAATCATCTCTTTTAAATTATATTTGACGTCCTGTATTTTGAGTGAGCTCAAACTCGGCATTTTTATATTTATGTATATATTTATATTAGTAAATCGACTTATACTTATGGCTAATGAGTTTGCTATATTTCTGCCAGAATTTGAATATTTATTTCTACACATTTGTATAAAGGTAATATCGTGTCATAAGATTTATTGGATCTCTTGGGGTTTAGGTTAATGTTTGTATACAAACTAAAATACACGTAATTAAAGCAGTGTTTTCAAACTTTAACATCTTTGACCTTATATTTTTATAGATAGGTCAAAGAATAAAAATAATCCATTTTTATTCTAATCCGTTGTCCTTCAATTATAGATTTGTTAAAAACCTAGTGTTTTATCATTATAAATATTTTTAAAAAGAGAAGATATAATTATAATCATATTCAAATATATAATCTACAAAACATATTTCTCAGAATCATGGATAAAAGGTTCTTCACTCATTACAAATTTGTAATGGCTAAGTAAGTCTCATCTCATATTATTTTTATGATCCACCTATAGGGAATCACATCCACAAATATAAGAAATAACAGTCTATCATATTTAAGCCATAATAATTATAAAATACATATATATTTTTAATAAAACGTTGGGAAAATGGCAAAAAGTAATAAAAGTATTTCCATATTTTACATGTAGAGAACTTACAAGTTATATAACAGAGAAGATAACATATAGTATTTGGAAGTTGATGTAATGATAATGAGGTGAGAGATATGTTGCTCATAAACCAAATACTATTCCACTAAGAAAAGGTATTTAAAATTTTGCTGAAGATAAAAATTATAGATAAAAAAAAGGCAATAAAATATATGAAAAAATTACCCTATATTTATACAAATTAAATGGGAAATATTCCGAGGGAAGATAAATTATTTTACCGGGCAAATTCCTGAGTAATTTACCTTATGCTTACATTACTAATTTTCAGTAATGATTTCAATATCAAATAAAGTGTATACATTCTGTTTATAGAATATTTTCATTTTTTTATTTTGGCGGTCCAGATTATTGTTACGAGAACTACTTGATGCTAAATAGTTCCATATTAAAATGACATTTAAAATAATTAAATAAAAATAAAAGGCTTCTATATATAGATCAATGCCTGAGTGCGGGTGGGTGATGTTAATATATGATAGATCTAGGTGTAAACCTGATTTTGGCTAGGGTTTTGCTTTAAAAGCATAATGTTAAATTTCACAATTTTTAAATCTCGTCATATATTATTTATCTCATCTGCTTAATTACTATAAAACACATATATTGGGTAGGGTTAAATAAATAGAAATTGTACATATATGGGGTTTAGAATAGATTTTTAGTATGGGATTATTTATCGATCTGAGTTCCATAACAATAGCCCTTTAATTACTTATATTTTAGTTCTAAATTTTACCAAATACCAAGAAATCTTGAGAAAATCTTATTTTTTTGATAGATTTGTTATGGAATGGCTTAATATCGTTTAGCATTCTACATCTTATTCTTTTTTCAATCCTTAAAAACTACGAAAATCCAGTACGATAACTTAATAATCTCATTGATCTAAATAGGCGTTGTTAAAAAGCAAACTTAACCTTTTGGTCTTTCATATCGAGACTAACCCCGCCATTTAGGTTGCCTTTTTCCTCCAAAATTTGTGAAGATTTAGAATCGTAGGTGCTTATAGCATCATCATGATTTTCGTAAATGGCTAGGGTAGGCTACCTTTTGCATTTCAATTCGCTCAACCTGTTATGAGATTAGCTAACCGAAGTTCGTTGTGAGTACGCGAACCATCTTTTTTAAAGTTTACCAGGTGATTTAACTGGTGGTCATAATTTTTATTTTTAGAAATATCGTATTTTTGACCTTTTTAATTGGAGCTAAAGTTACTTTGATGGTAAATAAGGCCGTTTTGGTGTGAATATGGACTCAAGCTAAGGTTAAAACTTTGAGGTGTATTTTCAGTACTAATAAATAAGCTTTGGTTTTCAAGATAAAAAAATTGGTTGTCAATTGATTTGAACTCGTGATCATCAGGATTAAGGCTGCTCCGGGGATATTTATAACTGTTATTATTATATATAATCTTGGTAGGATTTTTTACAACTTGTTGTTTGAAATGAGAAGATATTTTGGAGCCAGAGCCAATATAATCAAGGCTTGGGTTGTATTCTAAATCAAAAAATTCTTCAAATTTTTTACTCATGATAGACTTGGGTACGTAAAAATTTGATTCATTGTTGAAAGGAGGGGAATGGGGGTAGGAGCTGCTTTGGGTGAGGGAGCCTTCGAGAAGGTCGGGAAAATTAAAAGATTTCGGGTAAGAAATTATCCGAGTCTTTAACAAAATAAATAATATACTGAATGAGGATTAACTTATTAATAGATAAAATAAACGGTTCAAAGTCGCTTATATCTAAGAAGCGAAGGGACGTAAAAACCTAAGTTTGGAAACTGAGTTAAAAAGATTCCGCGGTTACTTTATAAAATGCTCCTTGGCATCTGGTTTTAAATTTTACGAGGTTATGAAGTTTCAGATTTTTGTTCTAAACTAGATTTAAGTTATCAAAATATTTAAACAATAAATAAACCCGTCTTATTCCATATTAAATAAACCAAAAAAACTAGATTATCAACACGACCCCCTTCGATTTTTTAATAACGATTATTACAATTATCACTTTTCTGTGGTACATCTTCATGAAATTTTAATTTAACAAATCAAAAAAATTCAAAAAAAAAGTAAAAATAAGGATTATGACAATTATCACTTATCTTAGGGTACATCTTCACTGAAGTTTAATTAATACATGTTAATACTACTTATTATTTTAGCCGATTTACGTCAAAAAAATTTAAAAAACCTTAAAAATAACGATTATGATAATTGTCACTTTTATATGGTGCATCTTAATTGAAATTTTAATTTAACATGTTAAAAATACATATTTTACCGTAAAAAAATTCTAATATGTTTAAAAATACCGATTATGATAATTGTCATTTTTTAAGGAACATCTTCAATAACGAATATAAAAATTGTCAGATTAAATTCTTTTCCTTAAAAAGATCATATAAAATAACATAAATAAGTTAAATAAATATTTTTAAAAAAATTATTTAGAAAACCCACCTCTTTTAATATACTGAGAAATAGATAATTTTACAAAAATGATAAAAAAAACTATAAAAGATTTCACTTAAAAATTGTATATTTATAATAAATTTCACAAAAGATTTCCTCGAAAAAATTATTTACAAAGAAGATATAAAATTTTTATAAAAATATGTTCAAAAATCATTGTTTGACTAAACTGCAAATGCTAAGGTAAAAATTTTCATATATTATCTATTATTTGTATTGAGATTCATTTTCTTTTGATATAAATAACTTATAAAAAATTAAATATTAGATATATTCAATAATAAAGAAGTATATATTAATAGTTGAATTTTCTTTTATCTCATAATAATTCTTTTAAAAAATCCTTTAATATAATTATATTAAAGATATTTATAATTAAATTTTGGATTTCAATAATATTAAATCCGCAAGTTGGCGTGTATTATTATAAAAAAATTAATTTACTTCTAAAACATTAAAGGTTCATTTTAATAAGCTGAATTACCATAATACGCATGGTGGAGGGCTATATATAATATTTAAAACAAAGTTATGCCGGTAAAGTATATTGTTAATATTACGATATAAAATATTATTTTGGCCAAATGATATTCAATAATACCAAGTTACTATTTAAATAAAATAATTTAAATATTATTTATCTTGATATATCTAAGTATTAAGAGTTAATGATTAATTTATATTTATACAATTAGAATCATATTTATACAAATATTTCACATGATGGCATTCATTCATTTACCTTTTTTAAACTCATTTTATTAGATTAAAAGATTACAATCACAATAAATTTTTTTCTAGTCGTCATATAATACACTTAATATATTCAATCAGAAATGGATAATCACGTAAGATAATATTTATATTACATGGGTAGGTCCTTAAGAATCTAGATCAGGGTTGTCATGTCTCCCCCCATCAGCGTTTAGTTTACACGCAGACATCTCTCTCCCGCAAAACTACCGCAATTGGAAATCTCCCGTAAAAATCTACCGCAATTTAACGTTTTTAATATATAAATAATAATTTTGAGAGACATTAATTGATTATTTTTATATTTTTTAAATAAATTTTAAATATTTATTCGAAAAACATGTCTAGTTTGTAAATCTTTTTCTATCTGTTTTATTTTTATCCAATAATAAATCACCATCATTTCATTCATACAAGTCAGTACAGGGGAGTATATCAACATCGATTGCAATATAAAAATATTCTCAAAAATAATAAATAATACAGATGCAACTACATTTGCGGAAATCGTATACATCTATCATGTAGTTCAACATTCACAGAGCTATAATCACAATGTGGGTCGAATCTTTTCCTCATGATATTTAACGACTCCAATATAAGTGCAAACCTTACTTGTGGCAGAACAAAAATGAGCACAAGTGTTTTAGTACCTGAATCCTAGAGGTCAATTCTAGACGATTTGAAAGATGGGCATCCATATGCAATTCTAACAGATGATAAGGGAAATATTACAACATTTCCATCGATCCTTCGCTATTTCAAAAGAATAAGAACATTTCAATAAAACTGTTAAAAATTTTTCCCCGGATAGTGAAAAATCCAACGATGTAGCTAGCCACATAATGTTAAATATAGCTGATTCATGTTATCAATGATTTTGCATGTCAGCTTTCAATGCTGATAATGCCTCTGTAAATTTCGGCCAAAACCAAAATTACCGAATTGAGGCAGCACAATAATGAATTAATACCAATTGGCTGTATATGCCATATACTACATAATTCTTGCAAGAAGGCAATGAATTTACTATCTGTGGATGTCGAAATAATTGTGATGAAATGTTTTAACGAATTTAGTTTATCAATTAAAAGAGTTGGTGAAGTGGTCTGGCTTGAAATGGCGTGAGTTGTTGCGATATGTACCTATTGTAAAGACGCCTCTTACTCTCAACCCTTCCCTTTAGCTTAATCTACACTTAAATTGAGTTTCAAATATCCCAAAAGTCATTTCAAATTCCTTATTCACAATGATAAAATAACAACTAATATAAAAATATATAAACAAATAACCAATAACTATCCCATTACATTGCAAAATCTTCAAAATCAGTCCAAGTCATCCAATATATGCTCTTTGTTCTTCCCCAGCTGGCATGATTCCCCATTCTCACTTCTTTCCCCAAGGAAAATTAATTGTTCATGTCATAAAAATGACTGACATTTAGTATATTATATTAAATTGGTTATCACTAATACCTGCCAATGTAGAATTAAAATTTTACGAACCCTTAAAAAAATATTTCTTAAATAAAAATTTTAAAAGCTGTCCTAAAATTTTGAAATTTTTTTTTAGATGAAATGGCAGAAGTTTATTTAGGATAAGTTTCACATGTGGGAAATCTACTTCATGCAGTTAATATTCAGTTGCAATCAGAATATTCTTTATTAAAAAAGATTCACAAATCATGCTACCGCCCTATTCATCTCTACAGTTAAAAATTGATAATAAATTTTATGGCGCTATTGCTAAAAATATTATATTAAAATGTTCAAATAATACTCTAATTAATACATTTTTAAATGAAGCAGATATTTTTATTAAGACAATTTTAGAATGAAAATTTGATTTTAATAACTATTTACAAATGTATAAATATTATGATCTCGGAACAGAAACCATCAATTGATGGTTTTTCTAATTTAATAAATATATTAAAAATACCGAAAGACATTGATGTTTTGTTTGAGGAGATTGTAATTCTCTCTATTTTTTATGATTCGCCAAAATACTAAAAATTTGATGGTCTAAAAGCAGAGGAGAAATGGGTAGAATTTTTTCGTAATAACGATAAATCCCCATGCTTGGAAAAAATATGCGAGTATGCCTTCTCCTTACCTCATTCTAATGCTTCATCCAAACGCATTTTTACCCTGATGAGGACTGCCTGGAAAAAGGAGAGAAATAGGATTGATTTAACAAATTAGAATGGTTAAACAATATAATATGTCATGCCAGGAATTTAATAAATATCTCAATAACGACGGTAAATATTTAGTTCTATTATATAAATCTCAAATAAAATATAATTAAGTTTTAGCAATGGCACCATAAAATTTATTGTCAATTTTTAACTGTAAAGATGAACACATCTGCAGCATAATTTTGTGAATGTTAAGATTCTTCTGATTGCAACTACACGTGAAATCTCCTAAATATACCTCTGCCATTCATTATTGAAAAATATTTTCAAAATGTTAGGATAGCTTTTATAATCTTTATTTAAGTATATTTTTTTAAAGGTTTATAAAATTTTAAAATTCTATCGATGGCGGGTATTAGGAACATATCGCAACCAAAATTATGCTGACTCAATTTTGTAAATACATTCTGTTTTTACCAAATTCACTGAGGCATTATCAGATCAGAAAGCTGACATGTAATTTATTGATAATCTCGAATCTGCTATATTTACTATTAAGGTTAGCTATGTCTTAGGATTTTTTACTATTTGAGGGGAAAAAATTTAATAGTACTTTTGTTGAAATAGCGGAGGATCAAGGTATTTAAAATTTCCCTTATTAGATGCATCTGTTAGAATTGCATATGTATGCTCATCTTTCAAATCGCCAAGAATTGACCTCCTGGATTTAGGTATCTCTGTGAATGTTTTACTACAAGATAAGTGATTACAATTGCAGTAACTGTAGTTGCATCTGTATTATTTCTTATTTTTGGTGTACCTTATTATGTATTTAAACTTGATAACTGATAATTAAGCCTATCCCTATAATGTTATACAAGCACACGGTAGATTTCCAATTGCGGTCGTTTTGCGGGACATTCGCATAAAATATATTTTTAATTGTAAAATTAAAATCGTTTTTTTTAATAAAATTTTATCTTGTGTTTACATTCTTTTATATTTAGAAAAGATCGTTGGTTTTTTTTATTATAAATTATTATATTTAATAAATCAAGATGTTATTTTATTTTGAAAAATAGTTACCGACTTTGTATTTATATAAGCTAATTATTAAAAATAATAGGCGGATAATTAAGTCAATTCAAAATCCCGGCTGGCCCGCAAAAAAATTTATTTTAGCAATTTTTATATTTCTCCCGCATAATACAAAATTTCTCCCGCAATTTGAAAATTTTGACCTGGCAACCCTGATCTAGATAGAGATGTGAAAAATTAATCTTAGATACAGATACTAGTATTTTTTTCAAAATATAAAAAAGATACTTGCATCTAATTGTCATTACCAATTAAATTAGAATAGTTTATAAAATTTAATTTTTATTATTTATTTGTGCCTTTAGTAAGAATGAATATTTACAATAATTAATAAAATATTTAATGATGAGTTAATATATCGGGCATTTTAATATTAGTAATAGCCCATTCTTAGCATAGATAGGGAAGGGAGATTAGTATTTTTAATGGGAGTTGAAATAT